CGGCCGAAAAAGCAACTGCACTTGGACGATGTTTTCAGCGGATAGCGTTACATTATGTGAACTCTGTCGACTGACGTCTGGCCACGCAGTGAACAGAATCATGACACTTGACATTCGGCTGATGTATGGCACGTATCTGAGAGCGAAAATGTCACCATACACCACGTACCAGCCCTTCCCTTCAAGTCCTCCGCTTGACATCATTCACGGCTCGAGCTCACATGCGCATGCAACGGAATACAAAAGGTTCTCAGACACGCACATGAGACCGGTCCGAGCCCAGCTCCCGTTGACGCCTCGCCACGAGCCTCGACACGGGGCGGCGGCCGTCCCCGGGCGCCGGCCGTCCCCAGTCGCCGCGTGGGAAGAACGGCCAGCCGCCCGCCCACCGCTCCGTGTCGGCGCCATATATGGCCGGCCGACAGCCACCTGTACGAACCGGCCCAGCGGCGGACGGCAGCCGAGCGGCCCTGGTGCCGGCAGAGCGGCCCTGGTAAAGAGTGGCCCTGATACCGGCAGAGTGGCCCTGGTACCAGCAGAGCGGCCCTGTTGCAGAGTGGCCCTGGTGCAGTCCGGCCCTGGTGCCGGCAGTGACGCCCTGATAACAGCAGGGCGGCCCTGGTGCAGAGAAGCCCTGGTGCAGTGCGGCCCTGGTGCCGGCAGTGCGGCCCTGATACCAGCAGAGCGGTCCTGTTGCAATGGCCCTGGTGCAGTGCGGCCCTGGCGCCGACAGTGCGGCCCTGATACCAGTAGAGCGGCCCTGGTGCAATAGCCCTGGTGCAGTGCGGCCCTGGCGCCGACAGTGCGGCCCCGATACTAGCAGAGCGGCCCTGGTGCAGAGTGGCCCTGGTACCGGCAGAGCGGAGCCGGTGCAGTGCGGCCAGGGCTGTCGAGCCGCTCGGCTGCCGTGTTCACCGCGGCGGCCGACACGCCACCGTCGGCGCCTGGCCTGGTCTGGCCAACAGGCAGTCGGGGCCGTGACTCCGCCGCGGCCCCGGCAGCCGAGAGACGGAGCCGGGCCCGTGATGTGCGCGCAGCCGCTGTGAAGGGCGGGCGAGGCGGCCGGCCGGTCGACACCCGCCCCCGTTTGACCTCGAGACACCGCACAAGGTCACGACCGCTCGCCATCGATCCGGGCCAGCAAGGAGCACACAGCGCCACCGCATGGCGCGCGGGCCGACCTCTGGTCGCCGTCTCCGGCTGCGGCGTCCGGTGGCTTTAAAGGGCCCGACAGCCGCAGCTAGTGAACCAGCACTGGACCGCATCAGTCAGCTGACCGGGACAACTTCATGGCGGGATTCAGATCGTTTCGGCTGATGTCGTGGTTTCCTACCCACAGCCAGTCTGCACCAGGCTGGGGATTAAGGCCGGTCCGTGCCCACCCATTGCAAACCTAACGAGTGAGAGAATATCACAAACGAGGCGGGAGCGTCGCAAGCTAGTATGGGGTCTTCTTTAGTCGGACCATTGTCCGCCAAGTCCGACTCAGTTTTAAGGCTTATTTCAATCATCGACCAGCGATCTTAGCACAGGTCGACCGCAGTCACGGCGGTTTGTTTGATATGGTGGTGGGTAACATGATGTTGGTTAGCAGTTGATTGCGCCTGTAATTACGTCACAAATTACGTATGAAAATAAGTTTTCAAGAGCCACGTTAGGATGCAACAGAGAAAAGCTTGTACAAAAGGGACAATCCAACAGTTGTTGAATGGACCCAGGGTCATGTTGGCCCAGCATATCAAGTGCCGTATAGGTTCCATTCATACTCTGACGAACAGTATACACCATCGGATGCTTGAAATAATGTTCAAAAATATGTATGTATACATACATATATATATATATATATGTGTGTGTATGTGTAAATGTATATATATATATATATATATATATATATATATATATATATATGTATATGTATATATGCATGTATATCTATACAGTGTTGGAAAACTTGACGTTTCCTGGTGTAATGTACACCAGGAGATTTTGAACTCAAAGATTGTGACTAGGTAAAATGAAATATTTTGTACTCCATCATGATGCAACAAGAACAGCTGGGGCCGGACACTCGGAACAACTCATTTTTCCTTTAGGACAAAATAAACCAGAAGGTGCAACAGCTCGAGACTTGCTGCTTCCATCAGGAGCCATGTATTGATATCTGCAAGAGCACAAATCTTGCACCCACCAGACTAAGATGCCCAATAGCAAGCAGCCTGTGTTGCCACCGAGTATATGATACACCATGCAGGGAAACGTGAAAAATAAAGCGTGTGAATGTTGAATCGAATCGTCTTTGAATAATACCGGGAAATGAGAAACGAGTACCAGAATCGTACCGGTCTGTAGATTAGCAAAGCTATCACTTCCTATGCCCTACGCAGACCAACTCGAACTTGAACATGACTTAACCTACCATTGACGACGAACCACATTCATTACCAAGGATGCAACGAACATTCATAGAGAATCGCACGCCCAATCACCTACCGCAGACGCCCGCCTACCCACGCGTCACCACTGTGTTATGGCAATGCAAATTAGAGAATCACTCGCAATTCAGCGTCGGAAACGTCTCAACTATTTAGCAGCTTGCGCCCGCCTCCCAGCTCAGGTTGGAGGTTGAACATAGCAAAATTTTCCAATTGGTTTGAATGATTCGCCTCCTCGTGACTGATTTGTCAAGAGTGTTGTGAGCACGCCCAGCCGGCCCGGCAGCGCCGCATGCCGTCCCTGCCGTGTCGCGGCGCGGCCTTGGTCGCGCGGTGAAATGCGACCTATCGCCGCGGGGGCTGACCGCCGTCCCGTGGCGGACCGTACGGGACGCGTGATAGGTGCGTGTATGCAGGCTGACTTATGACTGGTAGTTCACCCGAACTAAATGTTATGTCGTGCCTACCTGAGACAGCAGGAGCAGGACGCCACTGGACTCGGTCCAATACAGATCGCCGCGTCGCTTCAAGTCTCTCCCTGACCGGGCTGAGCCGAGCCGCTGGACGAAGACATCACACATGGCGCGGCCGACAGTTGAACATTCTGCGAGAGACTCTTGATACTTCTACTCTGCAAGGCCTACAATCTTCGATCAAGTTGCAAGATGGATAACACTGAAGAGGTCATTGAAGAGGACACTGTACCAC